CGCGCCCGCTGGCCCCGCCCCGCCCCGCCCCGCCCCCGACGGGCGCTTCCGGACGGAGGCCACGCCCCTCCGGAATCCCCCTTCTCCCGGCCTTTGCGTAGGCTCGGAGTCTATGGTTACCGAGTCCTGACTCACTCCTTCCTTGATTCATTCAACCAGGCGTTCATGCATTCATTCGGCCATTCATTCCTGCATGCATTCATTCACTCTTTCCCCCTTCCCTTTTCATTCCATTCATTTAGTTCCATGCATTTCTTCTTTTCTTTTTTCACTTCTTCTATTTCTTCATTCATCTTTTCATTCTTTTGGTTTAAAGGAGTATTTACTGCCTGCACGAGCTGGACGTCTTATAGGGAGGGCACGTGGGTGGCGGGACCAGAAAGCATGGCTTCCCATCCCCTGCCCATTTCTCTTAATGTCTCATCTTTCCCTATTGGTGCCCAAGAGTATGTATAGGGAAAGGGGACGCCCATTGTTTTTAAAGGAACAGTTCTCCTTTGGGGTCCTGGATATAGGGTATCCTGTGTCAAATCCCCATATCACATACAATAGGACGTAAGAATATGTTTTTGGAAAGTGAATTACCTCAAGCATCTGTTGTTTAAGGAGCAGAGTAGTCCTGGGGTTTCCTCTTCCTCAAGGGGTGAAACACTGGCCTCGGGTGGTTACAGTATCTGGTCACCCCCAGCAGTCAGGGGGAAGGTTAGTTCCTCATGGTGGGGCCGGGATGGGGAGGCCCCAGACATGCTGGGTTGCACTGTGCTGAGGTCCCTGCCACAGCCACAGCCTCGAAACATCTTTCTCCTTCCTGTCTCTGCTTTCCCTGGGCCTACTGCGGCTGTGGGAGAACCCCATCCATGGGTGAACCCCCAACTGGGGCCCCATGATTTGTTCCTCCCTTTTCCTTCCCTCTACTCCAAGCGCCATCATACTAAGGTCAGCAATGGTCATCCTGAAGGGAATATCTGTCTTTTCCAGGTCTGGCCTGGGGAAAGGAAGGTAGGGTGAACATAGATGGCTACTCATCAGCTTTCCCACTGCTGTCTCTCCTGCAACCTTTTATGCATCCATCATTCACTCATTAGACAAACATGCATGGAGCCTCTCCTATATGTCTGACATTGTTCTGTCTACTGGAAGCAAAATCGACTCCCATAGTAACAATGATAACCACCACCACAACCAAGAAAATAATCCCATAGTCCCAGCCCTCAAAAAGCTCCCCGACAATTACAACTCAGAGTGGTTGGACTAAAACAGGAGTGAGAGCAGGGTGTTGTGGGATCACACAGTGGGGCCAACTGCTCTGTGGGGTGAGGGCAGGGAAGGTTCCATTTGAACTGGGAATGGGAAGGGAAGAAGGACGAGGAGAAGAGAAGGTCCTCATCTCTGGGGGTGATTGGAGAGAGAAGAGTGGGGGAGGGCTGAGGGGAGAAGATGGCCCCTGTTCTCCATCCCCATGGAAGGGCAGAGTAGGAAGAATGTGTTGAGCATGAGGTAGGAGGAGCCATGAGGGGAAAGCCCAAGGAAATTGAGGCATCTCCTTCCCTCGGGGTCAGTGTGATTTCAGATGTTTTCAGTCTCCTACCCTGACATGTTCCTCTTCCATCCTCAAAAGCTAGAGCAAAAGTACAGTCATAAACTCCAGACCCAGATCCGTTGGGTTCAAAATAAGGTGCTATCATCCCCATTTCTTTTTCTTTTATTTTTTATTTTTATTTCTTTTATATTTTTTAAATTTTTCATAAATAAATTTATTTTCTTTTTTACTTATTGTTTTTTCTTCATAGGCGAAGCCACTAAAATGGGTTATCATCCCCATTTCAATGTGGGGAAGCTGAGGCCAAGAGAGTTGACTTGCCAAAGGTCAGTTAGAAAGTGCAGAGCTGGCTTCTCCTGACAATCCAAACCTCTTACATTTTTTTCAGTGAAACCTCCTTTCCTTTATCAAGATCTAAACCACCTGCAAAAGAGCACTCTGCAAGGACACAAGAACTCAGAAGTGTGCTGAGAGTGTCCTAATTAATTCAGAGGCTGAATTTAAGGAAAAATGCACCCCAACCCAGCCAGGTGTCTGGCCTTGAGCCACAGCAGGTGTGTGGCAGCACCTTTTATGGCCACTTGAGGGCAGCATTGAGTCACCCACTGTCTCTAGTGCCAGAGCCTGCACTCTGACACGAAGTCCTCATGTCACTCCAGGAATGGGGAGAGGGACCTGCATTATCTGGAAGGATGAGCTAGGGACTTTGACTCAAGCCACAGCATTGTTAGGGCCCTTACTTTGCCTCCTCCAGTCTTCTTTGAGATCCCTCCGGTCTTTTTCTGCTTTCTCTGTGTTTTCTGGTTCCCGTTGTTGTGGCCCCACTCCCCCCTCCGCCCACCCCAGCCAGGCTCATCTTCAGGAAACAGGCCTGGTTTCCATGGTGACCAGCTGGTCAGCTGGCTCCTTCCAGCGCCCTCTCCCTTCACCTCTCTTCCTGGAGCTTCCAGGGAAGGGTGATGTATGTGAGTGGAGAAGGCAGGGTTGGTCTTTTGTGTGTTGGGAGCCCCAGGTTTGGCCAGAAGAGTTGGGCTGTCCCTCCTCCAAAGTCCCCTCAAGTGGAGACAGGAAGGCAGCAGGAAGGAGTGTCAGGAGGAAGATTATAACAACAAAATGGGGAGCGTGAGAGGATCCTGTGTGGGTTAGGAAAGGCCAGGGTTAGGACCTCAGCTCTCTGCCTGCAGTGAGGACTGAACTTGGTGGACAGACTGAAACCAGAACAAGAGGGGATGGAGCTGGCTGTGAGGCAGACTTCCCAAGATCATGGCTGGGAGACACTGGAATGAGCCACCAAGTAAGATTCCTCCTCTACCAGCACTGCCCCCTTCCACTGTTGGGCCAGGAGAACGGACTCACTGACCTGGAGAGGGCCATGCAGGCTGGATAGTTCTGAAGCGACAGCTGGAGATAGGTGGACAGAGAGTCACCTTCACTTCACCTGGAAAGGGAAGAGTAGGAAAACGGAAGCAGAAGCAGGAGTGGGAATAGAGGGTGGAGGCAGTGGCTCTCTTGCCCCCGGTAAGGGGAAGGAACATCCCAGGCAGATCAGTGTTATTGTACCGTACCCCAAAGATCAGATATCCAGGCTTTGCCCCAAGCTAACTTCCTACCCCTAAGTATCCTCTGTGAACTCTGGAATGGGAAAGACCTGAATTCTAGGACTAGGACTGTGAGTGCTAGCACATGACCTTGAGTAAGTCACTCACTCTCCCTCTGCCCTGGTTCCTTGTGAATAAATGGGGAGAACAGTTACCATATGTCAAAGACCCTAATGACACAGGGTAGGATTCCACAGTGACTGTGTACACACAGATTGATCATGCATGGCATTTGTCACATTCTGTCATAATGACTGGTTTCCATATCCTTCCCTTCCCATTGGACTTTGTGCTCCTTGAGGGTAGGAAACTGTGTTTTGGTTTTGTATGTGGGGGCACATGGTAGTTACCTAATACCTGTTTATTGAATGGATGCAGCCAGGAATGAATGAATGTCAGTTTCCTTCCTGTCTGTCCTAGAGCATGCCTGGGAAAGCAGTGTGGGCGCATGGCATGAGGGGGTAGGCTACCTACAGTCCCTCAGCCTGGCCTGTGGTCTGTGACTTTGCCTCATACACCCAAAGTGCAGAACCTTAGAGACTGTCCAGTCAACTTCCTCACTGCAAAGATGAGGAGAGTAAGGCTCAGAGAGGGGAAGGCACTTGTCCAAGGTCACACAACTAATTAATAGCAGAACCAGATTTAAAGAATTAGAATTCAAGTTTCCTGACCTCCAGCCCAGGGCATAGGACACACTTCACAGGGCTGTTCTTCTAGGGAAAGAAGATGGTTCAGTGAAGGGCGGTTCCAATGTCCGCCCCTCTGCCCTCTGTTAGTCCTTTCTCCTATCTACCTTCAGTCTCTTCCCTTTCACCCTATTGCATCTCTCTTGAACTCCGGCTCCTGCTTTAACCCTTTGCCACGCAACTGGGAGCAAGGTTCTTCCCTAGGGTTCCAAGACTCAATTTCCTTCTCCCACCTCTCAGCCCCAGGAACTTGCGGGAACCAGGGATTTAGGGGGGCTGTTTGTTGGACCTTGGGCGCCCTCTCCACGGGAAATAGATGGAGAGGAGTTGCGGCCTCTTCCCAGGGTGGGTGGCAGGGAGGGAGGCGCTGCGAGCAGGGCCGCGAGCAGGGCAGGGGTGTGGGAAGCCCCTGTTGCTTTTCCCCTTTGGGGGGTGGTTATTAGGTAGGCTTGGGGAAGGCGGAGTTTGGGGGGCCGGGGGCGGGGCTCGGCTGCGCTGGGAGGAAGGGGGGGCGCGCTGGCTCCAGCTCGGCTCAGACAAAAGGCGGCGGCGGGAGCGGGCGGGAGGCGGAGCGGCGCCGCGAGGGCCTCAAGGTGACACCCGCCCCCGGCCCCGGCCCCCCTGCCCGGCCCCTCCAGCCTGCCTCCCACCCAGCCCCCAGCCCCTTACCCCCGGTGCCCTTTCCAGGCCCCCTCCCCCCGGCGGGGGGTGGGGAGCAGCGAGGGCCCCGCCCCCTCCCGTTCCCTCCCCAGGGCCCGCGCAGGATGCCCCGGGCCCCCGGCAGCCCCCCGGGAGGTCCTGAGCTCGACGCACCCCCTCTACGCCATGTCCCCCCCTGGCTCGGCCGCGGGAGAGAGCGCCGGCGGTGGCGGCGGCGGCGGCGGCCCCGGGGTCCCGGAGGAGCCCACGGCGGCGGCGGCGGCGGCGGACGAGGGCCCCGCCCGAGAGGAGGTGAGAGCCGGCAGCGCCCCTTCCCTCGGCGCGGCCGCAGCCTGGCCCCCATCCCCCACAGCGCGCGGCCCCCGCCGGTTCCGCCGCAGCGCGGCGGGCGCCCCGCACCCCGAGCCGGCCGCCGCAGCCGCAGTCCGCGCCGCCGCCCCCACCGGCGGCCGGAGCTGTCCGCGGTGGCGGGGAAGGGGCCGCGTCGGGGGCGGGGCTCAGGGGGGGTCCTGGGCAGGGGGAGGGGCCTAGGGGCGGAGCCTCGCGGACCCCGGGCGGAGGAGAGAAGGTGGGGTGAGGATGGTGGCGGGGATCCTATCGCATGGAGGGGGTTGCCACCTTGAAGGCCAAGAAGGGCGACTTGTAGGGGCTACAGAGTCAGGAGGGTACCGTGGGGAAGTGGTGGTGTCACCTGAGCTGGGGCCCTAAGGGAGGTCAGACGTTTACAGGGGGATTCCCCCCGAGTCACTGGGAGTGTGTGTTAGGGTGTGCGCCCCTCTCTCCCAACTCCTGCTGCTTCCCCATAGCCCTAGTTGGGGGCCCTACTCTTCGGTCCTCCACGCACACTGTGCACACACATGCACACTTTGCACACACGCACACTGCACTAGGGCAGAGTCGGACCTGCAGGTAGAAGTGCCCCTTTCAGATGTGCTCACATTCGGACAAGCACACACCAGCTGGGCACGTAAAGGTGCACATATGTACACACCTCCCAAGGACAAGGCTCCCCAAAAGCACATGTACCCTAATCTCCTTGTCCACATATCCTGTGTGCTATTTCCTAGAGCTCACCTACCTACCCCTACTTCCAGATCCAGGCCCCCCTGCCTTTTACTGTGCCCTGCCTTTCCACTCTTTTTTGCCTTCCCTGGCTGGCCTCCAGGTAAAGCCTGAGGAATTGAGGTGAAAAGTCAGGATCCCAGCAGAAGGTTGTGTATAGGGGTGGGGGGAGGTTCCTTAAGCTAGTCAGGAGGGAGGAGAGGTGGGAAAACAGAGACCACCATGAGAAATCAAACTCAATATTCATTTATTACGTGTTAGGTGCCGGCACCATGGTGGGCACTAGGAATGAGGCTTGGGCCCTGCCCTAAGAGCACCCAGTCTAGCGGGGAGCCAGACATGTAAACAACTCACTGGGCCAACTCTGAGACAGAATGTGCCAAGTACTCTAACAGACAGGCCCCAGGAGAGTACCAAAAATCGTTTTTCTCTTGACAAATGGCTGGACTTGGAACGTCTTCCTACCTATGCCCACCCCACCTCTGCTATCCCCATCCTCTCCCCAGCCAGGTGCCTCTGCCCTTTTGGATACCTTCTCCTGGACTGTCTTCTGCTCAAGGGACCCCAGCCCCCTCCCCTCCATCCTAGAACAGAAGGAAGGATGTCAGGGTGCAGGAGGGAGACTCACAAGGGAACCGAGGTCCAGAATATGGGGACTGAGAGAGGGCTTGGGGTTCCCTGGGGGCCCTCCTCCAAAGGAGGTGTATTAGGCTAATTGTGAGGGTCAGGGAGGTGGATGGGTCAAAGGGAATGGCTTCTTTAAAACCTAGGACTGAAAAAAATCTGGAATAAGTGAGGGCCTCACTTGTTAAGTGGGGAGGTGATGTCAGTGGGTCCCTCCTTCTTCCCTGGAACATCTGGAAGAGTTCTAGGCTGGGGACCTGCCTTCACTGATGCCTGTCTGTCCTCCCGTCTTCCCCATCCACACTTTCTCCTGTGTCATTGCCATCTTTGTGTCTGTCTTTGGACTCTGCCTCTCTGGGTGCCATGCCATCCATCTGTGTCTTCTTTGCCGCCTGGGCCTGTATCTCTGGCTCTGATCCTTCTCTGTCTCTCGGGGTGTCTCTCTTTCTCTGTACTTTCCTGCATTGGCACTCTGGTCCTCTTTCCTGTCCTCATGGCTCACTGTGTCACTTTCTGTTTTTATCTCTGGTCTCCTGCTCCCATTGTGGTCTTTCCTTTTCTCTCCATATCCCTGTGTCTCTGCCTGTCATCTCTGGTGCTGGCCTCTGCCCCTCCATCCCTGCATCCATCTCTGTGCCTGGTCCTGCCCACTGTCTCACTTCCCACTCATCTTGGCCCCTCTCCCTGCCCATCTGAGCAGCAGCGTCCCATCCAGCCCTCTTTCACCAAGTCCCTCTGCCGTGAATCCCACTGGAAGTGCCTCCTGCTCTCGCTGCTCATGTACGGCTGCCTGGGGGCAGTGGCCTGGTGCCACGTCACCACGGTGACGCGCCTCACCTTCAGCAGCGCCTACCAGGGCAACAGCCTCATGTACCATGACAGCCCCTGCTCCAACGGCTACGTCTACATCCCCCTGGCCTTCCTGCTCATGTTGTACGCCGTCTACCTGGTGGAGTGTTGGCACTGCCAAGCCCGCCATGAGCTGCAGCACCGCGTGGACGTGAGCAGCGTGCGGGAGCGTGTGGGCCGCATGCAGCAGGCCACACCCTGCATCTGGTGGAAGGCCATCAGCTACCACTATGTCCGCCGCACCCGCCAGGTCACCCGGTACCGCAACGGAGACGCCTACACTACCACCCAGGTGAGGAGCTGGAGGGGAGTGCAGGCCATTCGGGATGGGAAGTGGTGCTTGGACCTGTCCCAGTCCCCCACACCCCATGGGAGGAGCACAAGGCAGCAGTAAGCTCCCACCCGGCACTGCAAAGGGAGAGCAATAACTACAACCATGATAACAGCAGCAAGCACTGACTGGGAGCCAGGTCCTGCTCTAAGTACTTTACTAATATTAAAATCATTTATTTAACCCTCATAACAACCCTATGAGGTAGGTATTACCTCCATTTTACAGATGAGGAAACTGAGGCTTGGATAGGTTAAGTAACTTGTTCAAGGTCAAATAGCTGGTATGTGTTGGAGACGGGACTTGAACCCAAGCACTCTGGCTCCAGGGTCTACCCTGTTTAGTGCTTAATGGTTGGAGATGGCTTCACAAGCTCAGTCTCACGACATGCTCTCACCTGTTCAGTGAGGTGACTGCTACCGAGTTCTCTTTCACAGACACAGACACCTAAAATCAGTGACTTGCCCAGGGTCTGCGGCTCCTAAATGGCAGCGCTAAACTGAAACCCAGATCCCTGGATCCCAAGTCCAAGGCTCTCAGGGGAGGTGGGCAGGTCAATCAGCAGCTCCTGGAGCGGCCAAGTTTAGACAAATTGGGGTCCTGTTGGAGGAGATGTTCCCAGATGCAGGCAGGCGATCTGTCTCAGTGTAGGGAGCAGCAGACGGAAGCCTGGCGCCTGCGAGCAGCAAGGCGGCGACTGAGTGTTCGCTAAGGCTGGACGGGGAGACTGGAGGCAGAGGGGTTCCTCAGGCGGCTCCTCTGGGAAGCCCACGCAGAAACACACCTGTAAAAGGGAAGAAGGGAGGCTGTGGTTATGAGCGGGCAGCACGGGGCAGTGGAGGCAGCGGCAAAGGATCAGGCAAGCCAGAGGGGCAGTTCACGGCCAGGGCCTGACTCCAGAGGAAGCAGCGCTTAATTAAAATGTAAATGCACATAGAGGACTACGTTCCGGTCCCGTCCTCATCTCTAACTCACCGATTAAGCTGAGGGCCTCAGTTGCTCTAGAAATCAGAGGTAAAGATCCTGCCCTGCTCCGGGCGGGACCTAGACCAGGGCAGGCTTAGGGTTTGACGGAGCAACAAGACCAGCGATAGGGCGGGCGAGGACGGAGCTGGCGCCGCGGCGCGGGCTCCTCGCGACTCCGGCCGCCTCCCCCGCGCCCACCCCAGGTGTACCATGAGCGCGTTAACACGCACGTGGCGGAGGCCGAATTCGACTACGCGCGCTGCGGCGTCCGGGACGTGTCCAAGGCGCTGGTGGGGCTGGAGGGCGCGCCGGCCACGCGGCTGCGCTTCACCAAGTGCTTCAGCTTCGCCAGCGTGGAGGCCGAGAACGCGTACCTGTGCCAGCGCGCGCGCTTCTTCGCGGAGAACGAAGGCCTGGACGACTACATGGAGGCGCGCGAGGGCATGCACCTCAAGAACGTGGACTTCCGCGAGTTCATGGTGGCCTTCCCGGACCCGGCCAGGCCGCCGTGGTACGCCTGCTCGTCGGCCTTCTGGGCCGCGGCGCTGCTCACGCTGTCGTGGCCGCTGCGCGTGCTGGCCGAGTACCGCACGGCCTACGCGCACTACCACGTGGAGAAGCTCTTCGGCCTGGAGGGCCCGGGCTCGGCGAGCAGCGCGGGCGGCGGCCTGAGCCCCAGCGACGAGCTGCTGCCGCCGCTCACCCACCGCCTGCCGCGGGTCAACACGGTGGACAGCACGGAGCTCGAGTGGCACATCCGCTCCAACCAGCAGCTGGTGCCCAGCTACTCCGAGGCGGTGCTCATGGACCTGGCGGGGCTGGGGGCGCGCTGCGGCGGCGCGGCGGGCGGCGGCTACGCGCCGTCGTGCCGCTACGGCGGGGTGGGCGGCCCGGGCGCGGCGGGCGTGGCCCCGTACCGGCGCAGCTGCGAGCACTGCCAGCGCGCCGTCAGCAGCTCGTCCATCTTCTCGCGCAGCGCGCTCAGCATCTGCGCCAGCCCGCGGGCCGGCCCGGGGCCCGGAGGGGGCGCGGGCTGCGGGGGCAGCCGCTTCTCGCTCGGCCGCCTCTACGGCTCCCGGCGCAGCTGCCTGTGGCGCAGCCGGAGCGGGAGCGTCAACGAGGCGAGCTGCCCCACGGAGCAGACGCGGCTGTCCAGCCAGGCCAGCATGGGGGACGACGAGGACGATGACGAGGAGGAGGCCGGGCCGCCGCCGCCCTACCACGACGCCCTCTACTTCCCGGTCCTCATCGTCCACCGGCAGGAGGGGTGTCTGGGCCACAGCCACCGGCCGCTGCACCGCCACGGCTCCTGCGTAGAGACCTCACTGTGACCTCCAGCCGCTGGAGAGGCCCGCGCCGCCCTCCCTCCCTGCGGCTCCTCACCGGACTGTGCTCACTGCGTGAAGCGGGCGAGTCACGATGGTGACTGGGGCTGTGCTGGGGGGAGGGGACAGGGGAGGGAAGGGTGCACCTCGATGGGGCTGAGACCCCCGCCGTCCCTGTACATAAAGAGACAGGTGGGAGGGGATCCGCAGCTGCCCGAGAAACCGACCCTGTTAGAGTCCTCTCCTCCAGCCCCCCACCCCTTAGTTTCTAAGGGGACACCACCCTTCCCTACACGCACACTCGAGATGTCCTGTCCGGCCTCTCAATGGATCTTCTGACTGTTATTTGGCAACTGTGCTGTGGCACCCCCGTTGGGCCTCACCTCTGGTGAGCGGCCCTCGCTGTGCATGCAGCCAGGAGGTTTAGAGGCCGTGGGGAAGGGAACTTGGGGCTGTCCTTCCCCCTTTGCCTCACCCCCTGGGGTCTCTCTCTGTCGAGGGGGTGGTGGTTTGGTGACCAGCAGGCTGGCTTCCAACCAGCTAATGAGTTCAGTGGGTCTGAGGCCGGGGCCCGCGTGTCAGCCCCAATACTCCATCCCAACACCGTGGAAATATTGCCGTCCTCTTCTTGGCGCTGACCCCAAAGATTGGGGTTTCCTTTCTGCCACTCCCTCCAGTGTTGTTTATCTCACTGGGCCCCAGGAGCCCGGGTCCTGGAGGGACTGCGCTCACCATGCAGACCTGGCTCGCTGCAGGCTCCCTGGCTGGGAAGAGCCAGTTGCCAGGGTGCAGGGGGAGGGGCAGGTGAAGTGTGGCGGGCTGAGTCCCTCAGTCCTTTCTCTAAACCCTGCAGCCTCCCAGCAGCCTGCTCACCTGGGTTCTGGGCAGGTACTCCCTTTAGAGAGTGACATGCCATGAAGGTGGCATTAAAACTGGCCAGGGTGGGTGATTAAGTGGAGAGAGCATGAGATAGACCTGGGTGACAATGGGAAACTCTGGAAGCAGGGAGGCAGCAAGAGTCAAGGGCCGTGGAGGGTAGAGTGAAAGGCCCTGTAAAGGTGGGGTGTCTGTCGGGAGGGGCCTTTGCCTTCCCCGGACCTGTGGGGAGGAATGGGGTGTGCTTGTCCCTCGCATACACCTCTGCAGGGCTGGGGACATCACAACCCCCAGCTGGAGAAATACTCAATTCCAATGGCAGGAATTCTCAAAATCTTGCCTGGTCCCTCCATCTTTCTGTATCCCATGAGCTGAAGCCCTGCTGTGTGTCCCAGGGTCTTCAAAGGGGAATCCTGCCAGCACCCCAGGGAGCTGGCCCTATGTTCTGTTTCCCCAAAAGCTCTTGACACCGCCTTCTCTCCCCATGCCCATCCCCACCAACTCCACCCTGCTGTGCTTTGGTGTGCATGTCTGTGAACAACCCCCGTGCCCTGTCAACTCCCCTAGCTAAAGTTTCCCCAGCAGATTTAGCACCCAGGGATTGAGCTCACATTTCAGGCTAGAGAGGATAACCCTTGGGCCATTCACCCCTGTTGCTTCTTTTGTCCCCTGAGCCATCAGAACTCTTTCCTTCCCTTCAGCCCCTCCCATCTTCCTCCAGCCCAGCCAGGCCAGTGGGCGTGGCCTCCACCTATGCAACATGGCCTCTGGCTCCCCTCCCCTCCTTCCCAGGGGGAATGTGAGGGCCCAGATTGGAGGGACACCACGGCCTATGGCTCATCAGGGAGTTGAGCTTTACTTCCACCTAGAGAGATGGCTGAGTGAGGAGGGAGAGGAGGCTTGGGGAGGAGGAACAGCTGCCCACCAGGTTTTCCTGGGCAGCAGTGCCTACCTGCCTGCCAGCACTGAGCCTGGACCCTGGGTCTGTGCTCCGGGCCCAGCAGTTGGAGCACCCCTCTTTCCTCTGAACATACATCTGTGAGGTGCAGGTGGCGAGCTGTGGCTTCAGGCCCCAGTCCTTGGCCAGCTGGCACCTGGATGTCATGTCCAGTGTGGGGGCAGCCCCACCACCTCATGGCTCCAAGGACGGAGGGACTTGGCTGCTGCAGGCCTGTTCCTGCAACAGCCTGGCTTCGGAAGTGGGGAAGGGGGGGCCCCTGTTATTATTTTTGCCTGTATTGACCATTTCTGCCTAGGTCTTCTCACACAAACAGCCTCAGCTCCCACACACGCACAGACTTAGAGAGAAACCAATTCTTTGGTCTATTTTCTTGGTAGCTTTATTGATTGCCAGGGAAAATGAAAACCAGAAAATTAATTAATCTCTAAAATTAAACTTTACACTGAATGTTCTTGTTTCTCTAATTAGAACCTCTGCTAGCAGCTGTGGCTACATACACACACTCACACACACCCTCACACCTACACGTTTGCACTCTGGAACTGTCAGAGGGTGTCAGGCACAGACAGACTCTAGGTTGCCCAGACAGGCACACACATGCAGTCACTCCCAAGTCCCCTTTGGTGCTCTGCTCAGCGCCTGCTTGTTGGAAGGAATCCCTGGAGAACAGACACTCCTTGATCCACCCTTTGGGGACACAGGTCTGGAGGTTCTGGGCCACTCAGCCCAGGGAGGGTGGGGATGGGGCTCAGCCTGAATCCATCAGGTCCTCCTGTGCCCCGTAGGCTGATGTGGTTCCTGTGGGTGTGCGCCCAGGGTGGGCAGCCACACAGCGATGGGGACTCATGGAGGGCTCCTGGAAGGCTCCATGTGTCCTGGGGGTAAGGGCTTGTGGGCTGGGCTGGGCCTGGCTGGGGAGAAGACAGGTCTCTGTCAACTGGGTGCATCACACTGTGGCCTTTCTGTTGTGGATTTCCAAGCGCAAAGATTGTACAAATCAAACTGGTGGATAATAAAGATGTGGATGACTCACTGACTTTCCTGCCCAGCGTGGCACTTCTTTCCCTATCTCCTCCCTCTTGTGAGAAGCTCTTTGGGATGGATGGCAGGGATAGTGCCATCCTTCTCTAGCTGTTGTCATCTGCAGTTGCTTCCCCAGGGGAAGCCACTGGGTCTGAGGCCCTTGTGTCACCTCCCTTGTCCTCTTCCCAGGTTGAGGGATTAGGGGATGGCATGGCCTGTAGAACTGGATCACTTGAAGCAGAGTAAAGCAACAGGGAGGTAGCATCTGCAGGGGTGAGGGTGGCAGAGAGAGTCAGGCATAGCTCTGCTGTAGCCAGAGGAGAGTGTATGTGAGTGTTTGAAGGTCAAGGATCTGTTCAGTGCAGAGGAAAATGTTGGGGAGGGGACAGGGGGTTAGGGAAGTGGGTAGCCCCATGGGAGAGTCTGGGCAGGGATAGTTTCTAAGAATCCTCTCTGACTTCCCTATCCCGGGAAGAAGTTGGTCATGGGGGGGGGGGTCCCTGGGCACAGGGGCTGGGTCCTACTTCATACCTCTTCTTCCCCTGTCCCAGGCCCCCTCCCTCTGCTTCACATGTTTACCCATACAGCCCTGATCACTCTCTCCAAGGATATGCGTGGGCTCCTTTCCCCCTCCCTCTGAACCGGTGTGACTCTGCAGCAGGCAAGACAAGGGCATGAAATGAGAGATGGGGCTGGGGCACTGCCTTGGCCCTGGCCCCCACCTTATCCTGCAGAGTTCTCCAGGACGTTGGCAGTCATCGACGACATGAAGTGGCTGGGATTCAAGGCCCGCTGGCGGGCTGCCTCTCGGTTGGCACAGAGGGCCTGGCCGATGAGGTACTCGCTCTCCTGGGCCACATCTGACAGGCGCAAGTCAAACTCCAGGAGGGTCTTGTTGTCTGTCATGCCTTCTAGGAGCTGCTTCCCGCCGTCCTGGGACAGGAGCGAGAGGGAAGGGGTCACTTCACGTCCTGAGCCAGGATCCCACACACATACACGCTTATATGCAGACATGCCACTAAAACAAACGTTCCGCAAAAGAATACCTAACCTATTTGTGCAGCACATTGACATATTCTACTCCACTCCCGCTTGGAAAATGGCGAGCAAGACCCACTAAACTGATTTCTCAACCCCAGTGGTTTGGAAAACATGGATCTCTGACAACGATGGGGATTCCACTCCTTGGTTCAACCATGGGCATGTGGGACAAATCTAGTAAGATGTGAGGGGGAAGTGTAGAGGGGGTGGCTTCTGCGAAGGTTCTCCTCGCTCTGAAAAGAGAACAAAAGAGGGGGGGGTGTTCTCCCTTTTTTCTGCCTCTGGGTATGTTCCCTATGTGACGTGTCAGAACTGCAGCAGCTGTCTTGGGACCCTGAGAGAAGCGCCAGAGAAGGCCACTGCCGCGTGGCTGGGGTGGGCAGAGCAGAGGGTGGCACTGAGCCACGGGGCTCTGGGTATAGGTGATACTGAATATTCCTCCCATTTAAGCCATTGCCTGGTTAAGCTTTCTATTACTTTGTAGCCAAGAGCACCCCCTCTGGAGCCAGTGTGTGTGCACACGCGTGTGTGTGCGTGTGCGTGCGTGTGCATGAGTGAAAGCAGGGCTGTTCTCACGGGGAGGTTTAGTAGAGGGTTCAGGAGCAAATTAGAGCACACAAAGCCCCCCCCCAATAGTCCTCAAAGCTCCAGCCCCTTCTAGGTTGGGTGGGCCAGGCCCAGTGTTAAAAGAGTTTCATGTCATGAGGCAGAATGCTGCCATTCCATTTTTGTGGCCCAACAGTGTGTAGCAAAGTCAATTTAGTGGGTCAAAGAAGCACTTTGAAACATGAAATTGAGTAGACTACAAAGGCAAACATTGGCATATATCACAAGCAGTAAGTAAATTTCAATGATATTGTATTTATGTATATGTTCGCGAGGTGTTCATGTAAATTGCATTTCTTACTCCCAGACTTGGTGAAGAAAGTTTGGGAGACACTGTCTATTAGAAAGGACTCTGGCTTTGAATCATTCTTGCGTTTGAATCACAGTTTTGCCATTGCCTACAGACTTGATGCTCTTGGGCAATTCACTAACCTCTCTGGGACTCAATCTTCCATCTGGAAAGTGGAGTTAAGAATATTCATCTTAATTAGGTAACTGTGAGGATTAAAGGAGAAATAGTGGATATCGGGGTACATACATTAGCAGAGCATGTATGCACACTTGGCGCAGTATGTAGTATGTGAAGCCTGAGAGCTTCACACTTATCCTGCAGGTACCCCATGGCGGGTGGATTGCACACTCAGCCCTCAAGGCCCCCAGAAGCAGCGGCTCACCAGCCCGATGTGGTTGCAGGATAGGTTGATGCTGGTGAGCGTGGTGTTGAAGGCCAGCACCTGGGAGAGCAGTGTGGCGGTGGGCTCCGACAGCTCATTGCCACCGAGGTGCAGCGTGGTGAGGCACTTGTTGGTCTGCAAGGCGTGGGCGAGAGCCTGGCCACCCTCGTCCTCGATGCAGTTGAGGCGTAGGTTGAGGGAAATGAGGTTGGTGTTGTGTGCCAGAGCATGAGCCAGCGACTGGGCGCCGGGCGCACGCACCTGGTTGTTGGCCAGGTTGAGCACACGCAGGCGGCTGTGGCTCAGCAGCTTGGCAGCACCTCGTGCACCACGGTCCCCAATGAGGTTATGTGACAGGTCCAGCTCCTCCAGAGCTGGGTGGTCCAGGAGGCTTCGAATTAGGATACGGGCCTTGTCATCGTCCACCTTGCTTCGGGTCAGTCTGAATACCTGTAGGCAGGTACAGGATTTTCAGCACCTGCTGGCCAGGGAGAACTGCCTGCCGACCGACCTACTTTTGTAGGTAGAGGAGGAAGCCTCAGGGAAGCCTAGGGCTCTGCTCACCTGGTGCTGGCCTTGGGATGGGCAGGCCTAGCCAACATGACAGGGTGCTACAGAATTGGTGGCAGGTAGCAGGGGGAAAGTCTACCGCTTTATTGAGCAATCACTGCATGCTGGGTATGTTGCTCGAATATTTATTTCATAGCCATTATCTCTAACTCTCAGCATCCTGATAAAGAAGAGTGGGTTCTCTCTGATGGAGAGAAAATGGAGGTGTAGGGTGGTTACATTACTTGTCCAGAGTGACACAGTGAGTGGGTGGCAGAGGCAGGTTTGGAATCCAGGTCTGTCTGGCGCCCCAGCCCCTCACTGCGCTATCCTCAGCTGGCTAAGGTCCACCATGGCAAGGAGAGGAACTCATTGGAGGAAGTTGTCAGGGAAAGAACTAGCGAGAAAGTGGGGAAGGTGAAAAGCAGGAAAAGGATGGGGTGAAGGAATGAAAGAAAGGGGTGGTGCTGCAGTATGAATATTGTACATGGAAGCCCTCCACTCTGCTTCCCACTGGCTTGTTCCCCGCTCTCTCTCCCTGAGACCTCTGAGTGCCTGGCCTCTCTCCCTCATTCTTCAGTTCACTCCTTTTTTCCATCCCTTGTAGCCAGCTTAGAGATTTTGTCTCTCTTCTCTTTTCACTGCATCTATCTGGCCAACCCCCAGCCCTGGATCAACAACACTCTCTGTTTTTTGCATGTCTGTGCACAAACAACTGACATGATGGAGAATGTCACCTGACGGGACTGGACTGGTTGCTATCACTGGAACCACCAATAGGCCTGCAATGCCTCGTGCCCACCCAACTGTGTTTCTCTGGCCAAAATATCCTCTTATAATCTACAACTATGTCAACTGTTTTCAGCCTCCTTCAGCTTCAGGGAGCCTCCCTGCTGAGCCCCCTTTCAGCAGGTGACTTCTCTTCCTGCCTTCCCAGCCACTGAATGGGAACCTCTCATTTTCCTGATACCAAACACAGATCTGTTGCAACCCACCCAATCCCCTCTTCCCCCTGCCCAGCACCAACTGCCCCACTCGGTCCTAAGTCCAGCCCCTCCATTCTTCTCAGGAACCTTCCTTGGTCTGCAATCCTGCGCCTTTCTCCTATAGAGAGCCCCTTCTTTGCAACTAGATGGAGAGCCTTACATTGGTCTTAAACACATGCACATTTCTTCTTAGAAAGCCCAAAACTCTCATCTACTACTGCTCTACCTCTCCCCCTTCACAGCCAAGTTCTTGAACAAGCTGATCACAGCCATCCACTCCTTACCTCCCACTCTCCCCATAAACCTCTGCTGTTTGGCCTCTGCTCCTGGCACGCTGCTGAGGTAGCTGCCCCCCCAGTGGCTTCCAGGCTTGCCAAGTCCAGGCCCCAGCTGCACTCCACCCCCCTGGTCACTCCCTCTACTTGAAATGTGGCTCTGTGACACAATGCCCTGTCCCCCGTCCTTCCTCCCTCTGGTTTCCTGGCAAGCGTTCCTTCTTCTGCCAAGACCACACATCAGGTCTCTTCTTGTCTCACTTTTGCTTTCCTTAAGAGATTCCATCCAAACCCAGGGCTTCAGCTGCCACCTCCATGAAAGCAGCACACATGTCCATGCTCAATCCACGCCTCCTGTCTGAGCTTCAGGCACTCTACCCAGCGGATGAAAGGACCCTTTCCTTGGGATGCCTCCAACTGAAACTCACACTCTTCCTCCTCAAAACTGGTCCTCATCCCATATCCCCTGTCTCTGCAAATGGCCCCTCCAGCCACCTGGCCTCACGAGCCGGAAGCCTTGACACCTCTTTCTGCTTCCTTTTCCTCTGGACTGTCCTTACACCAGCAGGTTGGTCTGACTGCCAGTTGACTTGGCTGCCAAACATCCGTCGCCTCTCTCCACCTCTCTCAGTCTCCACAGACACCGTCCCACTTCAAACTGCCCTCATCTTCACCAGGATTTGTCAGAGATCTCCTAGGTGACCTGCATGCTCACCGTTGCCCTGCCCAGGCCACTCTCCTTCACAGAGTGATCTTTCCACAAGGAAAACTCCAATATTGTTACTTTTATTTTTTTTTGCCTAAAACCTTTGGATGGGGTCCCAGAGCAAATACAGATACAGACAGACTCCTTAGCAAGGGCCTCCTGCACCCAGTGAGGCTG